GGTTCTTAATAAGCGATTTACCGCGAGCGAGCCGTCGAGCGTCTACTAGACCGCGCTGTGTCGATACGGAAGTTCTGCCACGGGTGCCCTGTTATCGGGTCTTTGTAATGTTAACACGGATTCGCGGCGTGGTAATGCATAGACTGCAGCGCCGTTTCTTATGCATGCGCTGCCGCCGTCGCCATCGGCGGGCGTGCGGGTATTATTAGCCGTGAAATGAATATCAATGAATGCCAATATACGTTCCTGACCGAAAAAACGAGCCGTCCAAGTAGCGCAACCGGAACTCACTGGGAATTTCGACGGGTGAAACATCGCGTTTTGATTATACGTACTAAATGGGAAGAATTTTACGATAAGAATTATGGTGGGATTTGTAGCCGAACAGATTGACATTCTCTGCGATACTTAACTGTGCTTTCATTTCGTGTGTGACATTCTCTTGATGCCATAGTCTTGATCAAAGTGACCCCAATCAGTTATCTTCAAATAATTTCGTGTAAATTTTGTATAAGGTGAATTATGAATAATATTCTAATTTCTTTGTATCAATTTAACACCAGATAAATATGTAAATAAATAACACAACTTAACTGCAATACTTAACTATGCTTTCATTTCATGTGTGCCATTATTTTGATGCCATAGTCTTGATCAGATTGATATTAATCAGTTATCTTCAAATAACTTCGTGTAAATTTTGTACAAAGTGAATTATGAATAACATTCTAATTTTTTTGTATCAATTTAACACTAGGTAAATATGTAAATAAATAACATAACTTAACTGCAATATTTAACTATGTTTTCATTTCATGTCTGCCATTCTCTTGATGCCATAGTCTTGATCAGATTGATATCAATCAGTTATCTTCAAATAACTTCGTGTAAATTTTGTACAAGGTGAATTATGAATAAGATTCTAATTTTTCTGTATCAATTTATCACCAATATGTAAATAAACAACTTGACCATACACTTTGCATGTAAAACATGTCACGAATTTATATATTTACATATAAATTGTGTTATTTTGACACTTGGAAATGGTGAATATAAACGCAACGGAGAATAGTCAAAATAAAACAACGACAACACGTTAAATTAACACGGGGATATGGTTAAAAATTTCACACAAAAATGTCCACACGAATCGAATTCAACAGGAATATAAAGTGTTTTTTACTGCGTAGGCGGGTTATATCTTGAAAATGTTCTAATTCAGTAATAATTCAAAATCCCAGTAATAATATCTGAATATCACGACTGAAATTCGACGAGAATAAAAATCTACATTGCTTTCCGAATCGCGAAACATATCGGCCAGATTGTATCATATTAATCCGTTGAGGTTCAGCGATAATATTTCACAAGCTCGCAGCTGGAGCACAAGTATGCGCTGCGCCACCGAGAATTAATTAGGCCGATAATAAGATCCGCAATAAAACCTTATTCGTTGCATTATAATAGTACATGTACATATCGAGTGCGCGCCCAATTTTAATGGAAATCGATGACGGACTCGATTACCGAGATTTATGCGCCGGAAGGGAAGTTCTCCACCGAATAGAATCCTGTTATCATTGTAATGTTAACACGGATTCACGGAGCGGTGCACACAGCGGCCGCGTTGTTTCTTATGCACGCTACGCCATCAAGAGGCGTGCAGGTATTAGCCGCGGGATGAATATCGATGAGCACATGAGTATACACGCTGTCCCTAATTGAATGTAGTCGAAGCACCGCCGATAAACTTGTATAGATATATGCTAAGCCGAGAGAGAAGCGTGAGCGCGAGAGCGAGCGAGAGAACGAACGCTGCCAGGCTTTGTATCGCGTTACAAGTATATTAATTCTCGTAATCTCCTGAAAGCAGACTCCCATCATTGCCACGCGTGTACGCAGCCGTATCGCTTTTCGCACACGAAAATCTCTCACGAATTGCGCGATATTTGTGAATAATCACAAGAATAATATTCCGGTGCACGGTAACCGAGCCCGATCCGAGTTCGTTAGCAAACTGTTGTGAAAATTTTCTAATTTTTTTTTTATTCTCCGTCGCGAGCAGCACACCCAGATAAATTTCTATGATTATCACGACGTGAGATAATCAATGAAACTTTAGAAAGAAAATTTTACGATTCTTTTAATTACACCGATAAAGTAATAATACACTTAGGAATAATCTCAGATCTTCGTGTCGCTCCCGCGACAATATTCCGAGAGACGATCGATCCTTATTGTCGCGTGTACGGCGGCGGTTAAGTTGTTGGAGTTAATCGAGTCTCGCGCGCTATCGCGATAACGAGACACGGCCTGACCGCAGCTTCCCTGATGGATCACGGGGACCACCAGGACCGACGTAGAACGTCGGAAACCACGACCACACACACCTCAGGTCGGCAGGTCGGCGTCGCCGTTGTCGCCGTCGCCATCGTCGTCGTCGACGACGTCGATCGATTTCCCGTCAATACTTAAGATACTTTTAAGACGACTTTAAAAGACGTTAGGTCGCTGTACCGCGATGATGTAAAGTCTAGAGAGAGAGGTCCGAAATGGAATTCGGAGTGATAGTAATAATCGTAAAGATGAAATATACGCATTTGAAAAGGGGAACCCCCGGTGCTTTGTTATCGCGATAAAGCAGAAAACGCCGAAGGCGTTTCGATCGTTCGTTAAATATACATGAGCGAAATTATTTCAGGAAATTAAATGCAGGACGTGCAGTAATTTAGTAATCCTCAGTGTAGCGACTGTTCTTATTATTGATCTTGCAAACACAGACAGTGTAGTTGCATCCAAACAGCATGCAAATCAATAATTTTATCTTCATAAACTCAGAAAGTTGAATTTAATACAGCATATAATGAATTTATAATGTATAGATTTTGCAATAAAATCTAACTCTCACTGTCAAAATAAGTGAGAAGGTGAAGTAGCAATCTTTTCACTGTAAATCAGTGGACATTCACTGGTTATCGGTGGAGTACCCCTTTTACTGATTTAATTAGAAACATTTTTACTAACTCACTTTAAGAGAGCACTTCCTTCTTTCCTCCTTCCTTCCCTTCTTCCCTACCTCCCTCTCTCTTTCTCCTATCCTCCCTTTCTCTCCTTTCCCCTTTTTCTTCCTTCGACTCATCGCTCTCCCTCCCTCTCACCCTTTTCTCCTCCTCACCCTCTTTTTATTTTCTATCCTATATCACACAGCCTTCTGCTTCCTTCCTTCCTCACATTCGCTTCCTCCCTACCACCCTCCGTCTACCTATCCATCCCCTCTTTTCCACCTTTCCCACTCTCTCCCACTCCCTCTCTCCATCTTTTCCTCGCTTCCTCTCTTTTCCTCCTTGCTATTCTCTCCCTCCATCTTCCTCTGCCACAGTTCCCTAACATCTATTTTTCCTCCCTTCTTGCCCTTTTCCTCCCTCCTTCCGTCCATCCATCCCTTTCACCCCTGATTCCAACCTCCCTTCCTCCAGCACTTCTCTCCTTCCCATACTCCCACCTCATCTTTTCTCACCCTTCCACCTTGCCCCTTCCTCCCCTCTCCTTTTCTGAGTTTCGTCAGCGACCACTTCGCTCGTAGACGCCGACGCCGAAGTTCACACAGGTGAATCTGCCAACCCGCGGCAGTAAATACGACCGACCTAAGACGGCCGCCGGCTGCGGAATCAGATTACTGTTTGGAACCAGAGGTCGGAGAACGCAATTATCTCGCGATTAGCGAGGCTTCAAGTGCGCTGCTTCTGCAGTTCTGACCGCTATTAGAGTAACTCGCGAAACTCACAGAGACGTTGTGGCAAGTGCTCGATATCTTTGCACTGGCGTGCAACAATGAAAAACAAACGGCTAGATGAATGAATGGACAAAACGCTGAGAAATCGACAGACAATTCTACGAGGTGTGGGTAAAATTAACTCACCATAATTAATCAGCGCTTTTCATTGAGTGCGGGAACCCAAAAGAATACGTGAAGATTTCAAATGGCTACAGCGAGGGAGGAGGAGATGTAGAGATTGTCACGACGTACCGTCTAATGAGCGAATACGCCAATTAAAGCGCGGTGGTAATTAAATGACCGATCGATGACGGGATTAATGTAATTACGACAAAATAACGCCGTCCCGCATAATCAATGGACACCTGCTTTAATGATACGAACGAGCGAGCGGCGCGATTACGCGTGAGCCCGGCGATGCTCGTTCGAACCGTCATTAATCGCCGGGCGCGGTGCAAAATTGTGGTGGTTATTACGGGATGATTACAAGGGACCGGAAGGTGGCGCGACGTTAGATAACGACGTGATTTAGGACAGCGAGAATTCCACACAAATTTAACGCAAGATCCGAATCAGGTGGGGCGTTTATTAATTGCAGCGCCAGACCGACGATTGTAATTGGAATCATTCAGCCAAAAAATACAATCTCATCTTTGGCGGAATCTTTCTGTATGTCAAGAAGATCCTTCTAATAAGGGACATTCAACAATTACGTCACGCGAAATTTCAGTATCTTCTATCTTCCCCCATTCCCTTCGTCACATTTCGTCACAAAGTTTGGATTCAGGAGAACACCAAGAGGGAGGGAATACACGTTTTGCAAACTGTATCTCTATTCATAGCACACTGATTCAATTCCCCCGACGAGTCGCGATTCGCGGAATATAAATAAGCTCCCGGCACTTTATCCGCTTTTAATAAACAAGAGCTGAATCTTTACCAACGCGATATAAAGCGTTTCAAGACGAGAAAATTCCGCGGCCGTCGAGTTAATAACGGACTCGCACCAAGTACCTCGTCGTGTTTCGATTTTCCTTCTTCGCTGTGCGTCTCCCCCTTCCCTCGTTCGTCTTGCTTTGCCCGAGAGTCGTCATAACTATCGTTAATATCTCCGATCACGATTTTCTATCAAAAGTTTAATAAAACGGAACGATGCAGGTTGCGCTAAAGTTCAGGGGGTGGAAACGAGCGGGAACTGGAAGTTCGTGATACGATAACTTACTCGGTCGCTGCCTTGTGTATACATATACACGTACTTTGGAGAGCCAAGGTAAAGAGAGCACGACGAAGTTCCGGTTGCGGAAGAGGAACCGACCGGAAGGTGGCTTACCTGAAACAAACAAGAGAAACAACGCGTTAAAAGTTCGCCTCCGATGAGGTGGGTTTTAAGCGGCGCGCCGCTTGAAATAAGCGTCACGTATTTCCGATATTATTTCCGGAAAAAGCGTCCGCTTGAGTCGTCGACCGCGCAGAACAAAGTTACGGCTCCGGTGAACGTGTAACTTTTTTTATCATATCTTTCTCTCTTTCTCTCTCACTCTCTGTCTCTTTGTCTCTTTCACTTCTTTACTTATAGCGAATTCGGTTGCTTGCACTAATGCACTTAAGGCTTGTTCATAGTATGTTATTATAATTAAAGATTGTCTTAAATAAATTCTCAAATATTTTTAATAACCAGTATTATGATATGTACAAGATTTTATTAGCTAAAATGTTTTTAAATATGTATTTAAGACACGATCTTAAATATAAAAATGTACTGTAAACAAGCCTTAACGCGCACTCAGTGCGCACTAGTGTGAGCTACCGAATTCGCTATTAGATGTCTCCTTAGATTTAATTATGCACTATAAATACATAATTAAAAAAAGAAAATATTTTAATCCACTAATAAATATCTATACTGATAATTAATTTTTTCAAAGTGTAAAATATATTAATTTAAATTTGCAAAACTATTATCAATATTATACCAAATATTACGAAATATTATTTCTTGTAACTCTTTCACATTAATCATATACCGTATATAACTTCATACGTAACAATCCTTAAAAAGTCCTAAAACAAATGCTTTTCTTTCTCTCTCTCTCTCTCTCTCTCTCTCTCTCTCTCTCTCTCTCTCTTTCTTTCTCTCTCTTATTCAGTCTCGTCATTTCGGCAAAGCTCTCGCTGCACGTTTAATGTTAAGTACGACGGTGGAATTGCGAGTCCGAGTTCCATTTAGTCGATTAATACGGATTGCAGCAAGCTGCGCTTATTCACTGTGCCAAATTTGCGTCTCGTTCTTTGATTCTCTGTGACTCGTAATTCGACGTCGACACGAGGCGAGACTCAGACAGCCGTATTCAGTCGCTAATTGCGCGTCGAGAATGCGACACGCGAGTCCGTGGCTAGAAGAGATCGTCCCCGTGGTCGATGACCTTATCGATCGCGATACAATCACTGGACGAGTATGCGAATAATGTTAGCGCGCGTACCGGCTCGCCCACGTTTCCAAAACTGGATCGTAAAGCTTAGGCACGAGCCGACAGTTAGATTAATATCCGGAGTGGCGCGTATATCGAATACCCACGACGCAGGCCTCGAAGACGCTCGAAGATGTCCTCAACGCGAAAGAACCTTGGTGCACGGTTGTAATTTATCGGCTGGTGAACGATAAGTGCGCGAAAACACACAAGGGACACGCATGTGAGTTATAAACAAGACGGCTTAGCTCGTAAAACAAAATTGCCTCAGGGATTTCTGGATTTTTCAAATATAAAAGCAAATCATTCTGGATTTTTTAAATGATGAAAGTAATTGTTTATTCTGTTTAAATAAAACGATTCAGATTTAAGTAAATATGTTACTACACTGAGAGAAAAATTATCTTAAGATCAACAAATATTTCTTTGATAGGTGCCATTAACATATTTACTTAAATCTAAATTCTCTTTATTTAAATCAAATACTGTTTACCTGATTTAAGTAAACAATATTTGGTTTAAATAAAGAGAATTTAGATTTAAATAAATATGTCAATGGTACCCACATCAAAGAAATATTTGTTGATTTTAAGATAATTTTTCTCTCAGTGTACAGAATAGATATATTATTTATTTTTTTTACACAACAAGAATTCCTCATGTCCTGACAAAATGTTTCGACAGTTTCACGATTTTCCTGGAAAAGATCTTCGTTGGAGAAAGATTCCCTGGGAATCCCTCATATTTTGCGGATGACAGACACCTCTATAATACGCCCACGATGGCGTACAATCGCGATACTTGACATGAACGACACCGTCCGCGATTTTTCCCTTATCGCGACGCGGTCTTTCCGCACGCGTCCTCTATGCTGTCTGACGCGCGGCGCTAATTATTCGACTCGATGCTCGTTACGGGTAATGGTCGTGACATAATGCGCGGTGCAGCATGCTGCGCCGCGCGGCCTGCGCCACATTCCGGCGTTCGTTCCGAGCAAAGGCGAACGGGAACATAACGGATCCGAATAATTAACTTCGGCGTGCGGCCCGAGGAAACAATTACAAAATGTAACGTCTAATTGGGAGCGGGGGAGGCAACAAGAAGCTGGGGCGGTGGCGGAGAAGGAGACAGGGACATACAGGCGGAAATCACTACTAGCCTACATATGCTGGAAGAATGTAACGCGCTCGCCTGGAGGCGCGCTCCAGACGGAGCGGCGCCTGTCGAGCTTCACGGTCTGAAAAATCGACCACTTTTACGGGCGTTTGCGCGAACTGACGGACGTAGGCGGAATCCGTTTGTTTCCGCTCATACTATTATCGCGAAACGCGATCGAAGAGAAGATTACGTTGTCATTCCGGTCACGTCGCGCGCGACATATCTTTCAGGCGACGCGCTTGTGCGCGAAATTATGAAAATTACTGGCGACACGAGTCTGAAGGTTCGCGCGGAGTATCCGGGACGGAAAAACGAGAGTTCGAGGAGAAATTTTCACGATGAATCTTACGCGCGTCTTCGGATTTCGTTGTTCCAACAGCTTTCGCAATAGTTCACTCGTGTAAGGGAGACCTGGTCTAAAAGTTACATGAGTAAGTTGTCATAAAGTTTATAAGGAATACCGGGTCTTGATAGCCACAGGGGAGTATGTGCTTTTTAATGGATTTAAATGCAACAGTGAATAGTGCAAAGTCGCGAAATAGTCTTTTTTAGAACGTAGATACTTTTTACTGAGTGTCATTAAAATCGGAATAATATTACGGTTAAAAAATTAAAAAATTGGTTTATTCGTAGCAAAGTAAGTTTTCAAGTTTCTCGAAATTTTGTATTAATATTCAGCATCGTAAATGAATGAAGTTAAGCGACGTGTTGCTAGTTAGAATGAAGTTTCCTGCAAGTACATGATATATTGTGTAGTATAGAGACTTGATCCTGCAAATGCTTCGAAGCACTGTATAGACCAAACATAGTCGTTCTCTACGCTCTTCAAAATAGCTTCAAACAGATCCTATTTATGTCGTATAATAGAAGCAATCTTCATTCATGAAATGTTTGAAATCGACCATATGAACCAACAGGCATCGGTATTCGAATTAAACGAAATCAGTCCACTGGGCGGTTGCTTTAAATTGAAACCAAATTCGCGCGATCAGTTCGCGGTTAAAATTAATCGAATCACGCGCCGCGCGGTGCAATCGAGAGTGACTGAGTTGAGAGAGAAATCGCAGGACAGAATCGGAACGTTGCGACGAAATGTTTGTGGTCAACGTTAGCCACAATAATCAGGCGTGAAAGAATAAAAAGTTAAATGCAGGTCAGGTCAGGTCAGTCTAGGGAGGAGGGAGGAGACTAGAGAGAGGGATAGAGCACAGCTCGGTAGAGGAGGACGATTACTCGTGCTCGTCTGTGTCTGAGGCGTTGATGGGTGTCTGGCGGGTCACTTCACCGTTGCAGGCCGAGCGAACGGACTCTGCCCATGTGCCTTCGAGCTTCGGATATTTCACATGTCCTCGGCAAGTTGAAGGAACTCCGTAACGTCCTTTACGCGAAACATCTATCCATTTGAGCGTGACATCTCATGTCTCAAGACAACAAACATGGAAATATATATCAAACACATACAACCAAAGTTTCCTGCTATGACTTTCATTAACATTCAAATTTTTCACTTAAAATTTCTCACTTGGCATGCACAAAAAATGAGATACTACTAAACCTGCTCGTTTTCTAAGCAACAGACTTGATTATTAATCAATTGAATAGTTCCATTTTCTGTTCTGTTTTCGTTCAGTAAATGAGTTCACATTTTGCTCAAAGTGACTGTAGGAAAAACGTTGCATCTTAATTGGAATCCCAACTAATTTTATTTTTCAGTTATTAGACAATGATTCATTTAGACAAGTTAATGAAAGCTTATATAAATCGTAGTTACCCGAGTAATTTACGCGACTAATTTAACTATTCCATTTGTTTTTTTGAGCCTATTTTTTTTCTGACTAAATGTCCAGAAATTTTCCATATTAACGTTAACGTTGTAATTATACTTCTTTCATATGTCATATGATGATACATTTCCTATTTTTCTAGATATATTTTATTACATTTTATACATTGTACCTCGGCTTTTCCGGAGCTACGACAAAATGCTATAATAACGGCTCGCGACGGTAAAACGGCTGCGAGGGTGAAGCGGAGGATATTGGAGACAAGAAGAGACAAACAAAGGTGCAATCAAGCCTCCCATTTGGACCGAAACAACCGTTAGCTCGTCGTCGTTGGGGGTTTCTTCACCCTCCACTTCTCCCTCCTTCGCCGACTTCTCGGCGCTGCTGCCGGGATTACCGTTTATAGCGAGCGCGCGACGCGCTAACGAGACGCCGGTTCTACACTTTCGACCCCCTCTTTCTCTTCCTCGTCGTCGCCGAAATTTTCCACCAGCCGTGGCCGAGTCTCTCTCACCCTCTTCTCGTTTCTTATCCGATTTTCACGGGCGAAGCGACCGAGATCGCCGCGGCGTCTTCCCGACACCTGTTGCTGGCGCATAAATCGCCAGACGAGAGGACACTTAGTCGGCGGATCGCGTTTGCGCTGGTATTAGCATGCGCCGGCATTCGGAGTCTCTTCTGGAGAAAACTCGTCGGTAAGCCGCCGTTGTCTGTCGTGTTACTCGCGACTGGGACACGTTGTTCCGCAGCGTCCCGAGATATTTCGAGTTGCAATCTGTTTGCCCGAGACGAGAGTCTTGGGGCGGAAAGGAGCGCGTAGCGTCGTCGCGTGAACGCTTCGTTTGAAGTTTCCCAAGGGACGATACAACCTGTCCATTTTCCCGAAATTCCGACTGTACTGTGTACGCGCATCAGAACTT